TTCCTGTTGAAAAGTTTCTTTTCTATTCGTTAACACATCTTATTAGAAAGAGGAACATTTGAAAAAAAAAATGAAATGTAAAAAAATAATAGAAAAGAATTTATTTTTAGGGCCAGTCATAATTGCACTGCTATTTATAAATTCGATTAGAATGAGGAATAAAAAATGCAGACTTAAAATGTAAGATTTTTTACTGAATTTTTTGGATGAAATTGAAACTTTCTGGTGCATTTTGAAATGATCACATGTCCTATAAGTCTGTTGATAGGCTGATGATTCAAACTGGAAGACAACAACAATTTTTGCGGTATATCTGTCATCCAAACAATGGATGTTGTGGAATAAGGCTATTCCAAAAGTTACTATTGTAGTTTCTTTCAACAACTATTTTTTCCACTTTTTTTCCTTGTGGAACAATGGTCCAGGTACAGATTTATGCTAAAATTTTCTGTCGAAAGACAACAATGACTGAAATACTAAATTGACTATTATGGGGCACAGGATAAACTACCGAGCATCCGACAGCAGTGAAGGGTGATAAAAATAAAGTTAAGAAACCAAACTGAAAAAAAATAAGAAATATAGAGGAAACTTTTATTAAAAAAAAGAATAATACTGTTGCTTGAAAACTTAAGCTTCTTAAGAGTAAAAGCAGAATGAATTTACAGAGAACAGATAACAACTAACGAATATAATGACTACAAAATTTAACTACTTTAATTCTTTATTGCAGAACAACGCATCGTTAGATGACTTTGACCGTATCAAAACCTTAGGGACGGGTTCATTTGGTCGTGTTATGCTTGTAAAACATAAGACTTCTGGTCAGTATTATGCTATGAAAATACTAGATAAACAGAAAGTTGTGAGACTCAAACAAGTGGAACATACGCTAAATGAAAAGCGGATTCTACAAGCTATCGACTTCCCATTTTTAGTCAATATGCAATACTCGTTCAAGGTAAGAAGATTTTTAGGTTGTTGCAACAATCAGTGATTATTAAGTTAGTACCAACAAAAAATCTGTTGTTAGTTATAATTGATAATGAAAAACAGTAATTTTCTGAGTTACTTTTTTGACAATAATACTAAAAAAAAGATCTTTCATAATTTATGTCTCTTTGTTTAGACGACGATAGGAGAGAATTATAATTTGTAGTGGTCAGAAATTCTTTTTTTTTTTTGCAAATGCATTAATTGTATAAAATAATGGTTTTTCTTTTTAGCTGTAGGATCGTCGTTTTTTCAGGATAATTCTAATTTGTACATGGTGTTGGAGTTCATCAGTGGTGGGGAAATGTTCTCGCATCTACGACGTATCGGACGCTTCAGTGAACCGCACTCTCGCTTTTACGCTGCACAAATTGTTTTAGCATTCGAATATTTACATTCTTTAGACCTCATCTACCGTGATCTCAAACCTGAAAATTTATTAATCGACAGTACTGGTTATCTCAAGGTAAATGCTGTTTTAGTGCAGTTTAAGTTAATTTTCGCGTTGTTCTTCGCTTTTTTTTTTAAAGCAATATTAGTGTTTTAGAAACTTACATAAAACAAGAAACAATTTTTGATCACTTACTGGTAGGTATAGTTCTGTTTGTTCTAATCTGTTGTCTATCAATGAAAGCTTACTAGAGTAAATGTTACCAAAAAAAAATCTTGTTAATTTATAGCTTGAATTTAGATCACAGACTTTGGTTTTGCTAAACGAGTCAAGGGCAGAACCTGGACGTTATGCGGTACTCCAGAATATCTTGCACCAGAGATCATATTGAGCAAAGTATGGAGCTAATTACTCGTTTTTTTTTCTTGAACTACAATTACTAATCTGTAGGAACTGTAAAATTTTTCAAGATTAATGCTTTATTATTAGACGTTTGTACGCTTTAAATACTTGTTTTGTTAATGCTTCAAAAATTTTATAGGGTTATAATAAGGCTGTTGATTGGTGGGCCTTAGGAGTTTTGATCTATGAAATGGCTGCTGGTTATCCGCCATTTTTTGCTGACCAACCAATTCAAATTTATGAAAAGATTGTGTCTGGCAGGGTGAGTTTTCAAGCTTTTTTTCTGACTGACAAGAGAATGTTTCTTTATTTAAGCGTAATAAGCATTCAAATAATGATGCATTACTTTTTACTAAACTTCAAATCATTTATTCTAATTAACGGTATTAGGAAATATCATCTTGGAAACATTTACTTTTTGCTTAACATTAGAATTTAATTGTTGTCTGTGATTTGTCGATGTGTCTTATGTACTTAAGGGCAAGCAGGAACTATAACTGAGCTAATGTAGAAGGAATTACCAAATAATGGAAGTAATAATTTTGATATTTTTTTAAGGTAAAATTTCCGTCACATTTCACAAGCGAATTGAAGGATTTGTTAAAAAATTTGTTGCAAGTGGATCTCACCAAAAGATATGGTAATCTGCGGAATGGAGTGGCGGATATAAAAAATCATAAATGGTTTGGTTCAACAGATTGGATTGCAATTTACCAGAAAAAGGTTTTAATTTTTTTTTAACTACTCTCTTTACTCTTTCAATGGTTTTACTGGTCTTAACACTGACTGTTTTCTTTTTTTTTACCTTCTTTTTTCTTTTTGTTTTGCTAATTTCTGTTGAAACCCAACTGACAATCAGTAAACTTTACTAGTGTAACACACAAATAACATTCTTCTTTTAACAACAGGGAATATAAGCAATGGAACTACTCAATTTTTAGTGTTTTCTTAACCCACTGACTGGAAACGGAAGCAAAAAGTTCTATTTTTTGTTTGTATTTAAATCCTAAACTGCAAAACAAAAAACTGTAGAATGGTAAACAAAATTTTTTGCTCGTTGTCACCTAACACTCTCCTGATTTAACCTTTCCATCTTTGAAACTCAAGCATCAAATTGTGGTGGTGGTTATGTTTGGCTTTTCCTGTCTTGCATGTTTGATTTTGATTGCTCATGGATTGGTTTTCTTGCAATTGTTCAAAGCTGTATACTGTAGTAGATCTCCGACATGGATGTGTTTTTGATAAAACTTCTGGGAAGTTTTGATCAGTTGACAAGAAGGCTGAAATATGAGCAATACTAAATCGGCTTTGCACGGAATTTTTTATCCTGACTATTTTTCTTCCATTTTTTGGTGGATTTAGTGGCTAGTTTGAATCTCCAGTACAGGTTACACCAGCGAGTTTCTCGTGCAAAGAAAATCAAACTGGTCGACTGTTTGAAGCACTGTATCCTCGCGTGAATGGACCGGAAGATACCCGGCATTTTGTTGAAGATATTAACGAGCAGGACAACGTTTTGCGTATTGGCAACGAGAATGTGCATGCTGATAAATTTAAAGATTTTTGAACGAAAACTATATTTTTCTTCTTTTTTTTCTTCTTTTTTTTGTTTTGGATTTCTGAATTGTGATTGTGATTGCATTGCTTCTGGTCATGTTTTGTTTCACCACATATCATGGAGCTTACGCT